CTGAGTTTTCGGTTTCAGAACAGCTGAATTGAGTTAGTTCAATCGACTGAAACTCTGAGTTTAGCACGTGCACCATGACTATGAAAAGCCATGATCAATGGAGCTCCGATATTACGATTCACTATGGCAACAGCTCCCACCAAAAAGACATCTGCCTACTTAAGACTCAATACAAGTTTAATTCGTATCACTGTTATAATATCACAGGTGAAAACTGGCAGAAAGGTAGGTTATTGAACTAATAGGCTATTAATTTTCATGGTATCCCACGGGCAAAAAAAAGATATAATAATAATAATAATAATAATAATACTAATTTAAGTGCATTTTTCTTATTTTACAAATGATGTGCCAATAGGGTAAGAAAAATACGGCAGCGGTTATTTACACTAAGTGGAATTAGCATACTTTCTTAGCGATAGATCCTATTTACAGTAGGCTAAGTGCAAATAGCTCTAGTTACAATATAGTGAAAATAGTGATATATTCTATTTACCATGTAAAAGTAGCAGTTCTTTGCAATAAGTGTAAATAATAATTAGATGCCATTTATACTGGCGGATACATACTATTTGCACCCAAGTATTGTTGTACATAAACGGGATGCAATAATAACATGTAAATGATTATATTTATAAAAAGTATAAATAATTTTATCATTATTAAACACTCATTAGGCATCTCCACTTTTAGAACATTTTCTTCATGTTTATTGAAAATAAATTCTAAAGTGATATGTGATGGGAAAAGTGAGAAGAGCGAGCTCGGCAAAAGCCGGACTCGAATCCAGTCAATCGCGTTACAAGCTAGTTCTCTGTGCCCAACGTGTTACTGCCTCCACCACTGAAGCTGTTATTCTCGCATGTCGTATTTAACCTTGTGTGACATTGGAGGGCAGAGCTACTGTAAATTTGCACTTAGGTTAGGTTCACAGACTAAGTTACCATGGTAACTGACTGAGTATAAGTTACCTCTCTTTCAGAAACGAGCTTGACTTACCCTGCTTTCTCGGGTTTGACATACCTCCCATTCTGAAACGGAAAACCCAGAGTTTCCCTCATTTCAGGGTTAACATACTCCGAGTTTTCACTTAACCTCCTTTCTGAAATGGGCCCCAGGACAAAGCAACACACTAGAGCATTTAACAACAAACTCACACAGGACTGCAAACACAAAGAGAATAAATAAGAGTGCAAACAACGAGGGTAACGAGGAAGGACAGGTGAAAATGAACCAGTAATAAGGTCAAAAGAAGGGCGAGGTTAAGATAAACAGAAGCACATGGCATACAGAAATAAACAAATCAAAAGCCATGTGCACAAAACATGGCACAAGAACATGCAGCCAATGAAAACACATTCCACATGCTACACTGAAAATGACAACACATAACATGAAAGTATGCAGCCAATGAGAAATACGAGCCGCGTGCTACACAACACACAAGGACAGATATGGTCCGAGCGCACTCAAAACTGCACGCACACAACAGCCGCTTTTCCACCATTGGGCCAAACTGTTCTTGTTGCTTAACCGTTCCATTCCATGCCGATGCAGGCCAGTTAGCACAGATATGGTTAAGTTTTCCACTGTGGAGTTGATAACAGAGCTTGTAACACAAACGTGGCATCAGTCATTGTCTTGGTAATGCAAGTGTTTACATACAGAATGTTATGTAAATAGTGACCGCATTATGAAGGATGAACAGATATTTCTGTGACCACATACCACAGCCATATCACCCTGCAGCCCAAGACTGGTTGCCCACTGAAGCTAAGCAGGGTTGATCCTGTCAGTACCTGGATGGGAGACCTCCTGGGAAAACTAGGCTGCTGTTGGAAGAGGTGCTAGTGAGGCCAGCAAGGGGTGCTCACTCTGTGGTCTGTGTGGGTCCTAATGCCCCAGTGTAGTGACAGGGATGTTAAACCGAGGTCCTGACTCTCTGTGCTCATTAAAAATCCCAGGATGTCTTTCGAAAAGAGTATAGGTGTGACCTCGGCATCCTGGCCAGATTTGGCCATTGGCCTCTGCCCATCAGGTCCTCCTAGCAAGCCTCATATCTGCTGATTGGCTTCATCACTCTGTCTCTTCTCCGCCAATAAGCTGGTGAAGAAAAATACGGCAGCGGCTATTTACACTAAAGTGGAATTAGCATACTTTCTTAGCGATAGATCCTATTTACAGTAGGCTAAGTGCAAATAGCTCTAGATGCTATTTACACTATAGTGAAAATAGTGATATATTCTATTTACCATGTAAAAGTAGCAGTTCTTTGCAATAAGTGTAAATAATAATTAGATGCCATTTATACTGGCGGATACATACTATTTGCACCCAAGTATTGTTGTACATAAACGGGATGCAATAATAACATGTAAATGATTATATTTATAAAAAGTATAAATAATTTTATCATTATTAAACACTCATTAGGCATCTCCACTTTTAGAACATTTTCTTCATGTTTATTGAAAATAAATTCTAAAGTGATATGTGATGGGAAAAGTGAGAAGAGCGAGCTCGGCAAAAGCCGGACTCGAATCCAGTCAATCGCGTTACAAGCTAGTTCTCTGTGCCCAACGTGTTACTGCCTCCACCACTGAAGCTGTTATTCTCGCATGTCGTATTTAACCTTGTGTGACATTGGAGGGCAGAGCTACTGTAAATTTGCACTTAGGTTAGGTTCACAGACTAAGTTACCATGGTAACTGACTGAGTATAAGTTACCTCTCTTTCAGAAACGAGCTTGACTTACCCTGCTTTCTCGGGTTTGACATACCTCCCATTCTGAAACGGAAAACCCAGAGTTTCCCTCATTTCAGGGTTAACATACTCCGAGTTTTCACTTAACCTCCTTTCTGAAATGGGCCCCAGGACAAAGCAACACACTAGAGCATTTAACAACAAACTCACACAGGACTGCAAACACAAAGAGAATAAATAAGAGTGCAAACAACGAGGGTAACGAGGAAGGACAGGTGAAAATGAACCAGTAATAAGGTCAAAAGAAGGGCGAGGTTAAGATAAACAGAAGCACATGGCATACAGAAACAAACAAATCAAAAGCCATGTGCACAAAACATGGCACAAGAACATGCAGCCAATGAAAACACATTCCACATGCTACACTGAAAATGACAACACATAACATGAAAGTATGCAGCCAATGAGAAATACGAGCCGCGTGCTACACAACACACAAGGACAGATATGGTCCGAGCGCACTCAAAACTGCACGCACACAACAGCCGCTTTTCCACCATTGGGCCAAACTGTTCTTGTTGCTTAACCATTCCATTCCATGCCGATGCAGGCCAGTTAGCACAGATATGGTTACATTTTCCACTGTGGAGCTGATAACAGAGCTTGTAACACAAACGTGGCGTCAGTCATTGTCTTGGTAATGCAAGTGTTTACATACAGAATGTTATGTAAATAGTGACCGCATTATGAAGGATGAACAGATATTTCTGTTTACTTTGATTAAATAGCGCACTTGGCCAGCTACAGCAGCTCTCGCCTGGTTGCCCACTGAAGCTAAGCAGGGTTGAGCCTGTCAGTACCTGGATGGGAGACCTCCTGGGAAAACTAGGCTGCTGTTGGAAGAGGTGCTAGTGAGGCCAGCAAGGGGTGCTCACTCTGTGGTCTGTGTGGGTCCTAATGCCCCAGTGTAGTGACAGGGATGTTAAACCGAGGTCCTGACTCTCTGTGCTCATTAAAAATCCCAGGATGTCTTTCGAAAAGAGTATAGGTGTGACCTCGGCATCCTGGCCAGATTTGGCCATTGGCCTCTGCCCATCAGGTCCTCCTAGCAAGCCTCATATCTGCTGATTGGCTTCATCACTCTGTCTCTTCTCCGCCAATAAGCTGGTGTGCGGTGGGCATTAAATTAGAAGCCAGTGTTTCTGTGCAGTGTACATTTTTAAAAAGAGATTCTAAACTTGTGAATATGACTATTTTGTACTGTTTCTCTCCCTTTGTGTCAGACACACTTTCTCATCATGTCTTTTTTACATAGATTAAAGAGTCTGTTCATAGTAGTTGGACAGGAAGAAGCCCTTCACCCACAAAACTGAACACACATCTGAATGGGCTACAAGATGTTTGTCCACCCAACAGATCAAACACATTTCTCAAGAACACAAACCGCAGCTGCTTTCAGTTTCACTCAGAATATGAACGTTAGCAAACTTACCAGTTTGCTAACGTTCATATTCTGAGTGAAACTGAAAGCAGCTGCGGTTTGTGTTCTTGAGAAATGTGTTTGATCTGTTGGGTGGACAAACATCTTGTAGCCCATTCAGATGTGTGTTCAGTTTTGTGGGTGAAGGGCGTCTTCCTGTCCAACTACTATGAACAGACTCTTTAATCTATGTAAAAAAGACACGATGAGAAAGTGTGTCTGACACAAAGGGAGAGAAACAGTACAATTGGCTTCATCACTCTGTCTCTTCTCCACCAATAAGCTGGTGTGCGGTGGGCATTAAATTAGAAGCCAGTGTTTCTGTACAGTGTACATTTTAAAAAAGAGATTCTAAACTTATGAATATGACTATTTTGTACTGTTTCTCTCCCTTTGTGTCAGACACACTTTCTCATCGTGTCTTTTTTACATAGATTAAAGAGTCTGTTCATAGTAGTTGGACAGGAAGACGCCCTTCACCCACAAAACTGAACACACATCTGAATGGGCTACAAGATGTTTGTCCACCCAACAGATCAAACACATTTCTCAAGAACACAAACCGCAGCTGCTTTCAGTTTAACTCAGAATATGAACGTTAGCAAACTGGTACAAATAATGTCAAAAATCTTTTAAACTTTAAACATTGATTGTCATCTACACTTTGAAGAGTTAGGATGTTACATTGTGGATTGTGGTTTTTCAGGAGCTCTAGGTACATAATACACACATATACATTTATAACACGAGAACAGAAAGAACATTTAAATAAGTAAGACTAAGAGAAAAATCTAATACTAATGTGACACATCTGGGTCTGAAAAAAATATGTACATATTTGTGCATTATGTATATTAATCTATTAAATAGCGCTGCTGCAACAGTCTCTCTATTATGGTAACAGCAGTTTACAATAGCTGTTTTGAAAGACCGTAGATATTTTACATTTGGTTTTTTGTTTCTGTTGTTCTCAACTTCACATGTGAATGAAGCGGATTTCAGGCTTTGTAAATCTTCAGAAGCTTTAGTCTGTGTAAAATCTTTTTATATTCTCCAGGTGTGTTTGGTGATTTAGTGTCAGTGATGGAGGGAGATTCTGTCACTTTAAAAACTAATGTTGAAGTATGTGATGGTGACACCATACTGTGGAAATATGGAGCTGGAAAGTCTTTCATAGCTAAAATGAAGAAAAATAAGCAAATTGTCTCCACATATAATGATACTGATGAGAGATTCAGAAACAGACTGAAGCTGGACAATCAAACTGGATCTCTGATCATCACAAACATCACAACTCAACATGCTGGACTCTATGAAGTACAGATAAGTGGAGTCAAGTGGTCATCAAAAATATTCAGTGTTTCTGTCTGTGGTGAGTAAAAAGGTTATTTGTTACTAATTTACATTATAAAAGGAGTAAACATTTCATTTGAAAACATTTAACGCCAAACATTGAATTAAAAATAAGATTGCTGATTAGATTTATTCTCTAATTTTTCCCCCAGCTCGTCTGCCTGTTCCTGTCATCAGCAGAGACTGTTTATCATCATCATCATCATCTTCATCACAGCAGAATTGTTCATTGGTGTGTTCAGTGGGAGATTTAGAGACAGACTGAAGCTGGACAATCAAACTGGATCTCTGGCCATCACAAACATCACAACTAAACACGCGGGACTCTATGAAGTACAGATAAGTGGAGTCAAGTGGTCATCAAAAATATTCAGTGTTTCTGTCTGTGGTGAGTAAAAAGGTTATTTGTTACTAATTTACATTATAAAAGGAGTAAACATTTCATTTGAAAACATTTAACGCCAAACATTGAATTAAAAATAAGATTGCTGATTAGATTTATTCTCTAATTTTTCCCCCAGCTCGTCTGCCTGTTCCTGTCATCAGCAGAGACTGTTTATCATCATCATCATCATCTTCATCACAGCAGAATTGTTCATTGGTGTGTTCAGTGGTGAATGTGGGTCATGTGACTCTCTCCTGGTACAAAGGAAACAGTTTATTGTCCAGCATCAGTGTGTCTAATCTCAGCATCAGTCTCTCTCTACCTCTGGAGGTGGAATATCAGGATAACAACAGCTACAGCTGTGTGCTCAACAATCCCATCAGCAACCAGACCACACATCTGGATATCAACATACTCTGTCACATATGCGAAGGTAGGCCTACATCTGTGGTGATAGTAGCATTTATTTACTTAACTCAGCTGTCTTTTGTTGTTGATCAGACCAACACATTTACTTGCATTAAAGTAAGTGAATATTCTCTTTTACTCTCCTTCAGATCCTCCAGACTCTGTATCTCTGATAGTACTGATCTTCGCCGCTAGGTGGAATATCAGGATAACAACAGCTACAGCTGTGTGCTCAACAATCCCATCAGCAACCAGACCACACATCTGGACATCAACATACTCTGTCACATATGCGAAGGTAGGCCTACATCTGTGGTGATAGTAGCATTTATTTACTTAACTCAGCTGTCTTTTGTTGTTGATCAGACCAACACATTTACTTACATTATAGTAAGTGAATATTCTCTTTTACTCTCCTTCAGATCCTCCAGACTCTGTATCTCTGATAGTACTGATCTTCGCCGCTGCCGCTGCTGGATCTCTGTTGATTGTAGTTTCAGTCGTGACGTGCTGTATCTGCAAGAAATGTAGAAAAAAGGGTCAGGAGAGCTAGCAATTAATCTATAAAAATATTGATCTTTTATTATGAGATTGAAAACGTTGTTTTAACACACCTGTGATTATTGTTAATGCAGTTCAGACACAAGAGGAAGACCGAGCCGATTCAGCTTTGTGCAAACCAAAATCACAAAAAACGGTAAGATCATTCATGACTGTGTTGCAGTCAGTTAGTCTGATTGAAGCTTGCTGATTGAAGTTTGCAGCATCAGATGGTCAGTGGATAAATGTGGCTGCTCTATCGGCCCAACCGTCATCAGTAAAAACTTATATATGGAGCAGATCAAAAGGAAAGTTAAGACATTTTCTGTGCTATTTAAATGTATGTGCTGTTTGCATCTCTGTGTAAACAGTTTTTCCATTTTGCAAAGCTATTTTCATTTTGCAGACCTATCAGACCAACACATTTACTTACATTATAGTAAGTGAATATTCTCTTTTACTCTCCTTCAGATCCTCCAGACTCTGTATCTCTGATAGTACTGATCTTCGCCGCTGCCGCTGCTGGATCTCTGTTGATTGTAGTTTCAGTCGTGACGTGCTGTATCTGCAAGAAATGTAGAAAAAAGGGTCAGGAGAGCTAGCAATTAATCTATAAAAATATTGATCTTTTATTATGAGATTGAAAACGTTGTTTTAACACACCTGTGATTATTGTTAATGCAGTTCAGACACAGGAGGAAGACCGAGCCGATTCAGCTTTGTGCAAACCAAAATCACAAAAAACGGTAAGATCATTCATGACTGTGTTGCAGTCAGTTAGTCTGATTGAAGTTTGCAGCATCAGATGGTCAGTGGACAGATGTGGCTGATCTATCGGCCCAACCGTCATCAGTAAAAACGTATGTATCGGCTATGGAGAAGATCAAAAGGAAAGTTAAGACATTTTCTGTGCTATTTAAATGTATGTGCTGTTTGCATCTCTGTGTAAACAGTTTTTCCATTTTGCAAAGCTATTTTCATTTTGCAGACCTAAAAAAAAAAAGCCAAGCACAAAACGAAATTCAATAACAGAAAATGTTTTTTGAATGTATCAAATGTATTCGTTTTTTCAGCAAACAGTAAAATATTAACATTGATAAATTATTATTATATACTAAAGGGTTAGTTCAGCCAACATTTTAGGCTAAATATTAGGCTATCTGACAGCCTCAGTCACATTTTACATTCATTGCATATTTTCAAACTTTAAAAATGAATAATGACCGTCAGTATTCTGCTTTTTTAAATTTTAGTCATACATGCACTCTTAAAAAGAAAGGTGCTTCACGATGCCATAGAAGAACCTTTTTGTCTAAATGGTTCCATAAAGAAGCTTTAACATCTGAAGAACCTTTCTGTTTCACAAAAGGTTCTTTGTGGCGAAAGAAGGTTCTTCAGATTACAAAAAGGTAAGAAAGAGATGGTTCTTTAAAGAACCTTTGACTGAATGGTTCTTTGTGGAACCAAAAATGGTTCTTCTATGGCATTGCTGTGAAGAACCATTTGAAGCACCTTTATTTTTAAGAGTGTGTGACAAAATAATAGGCTATTTTATCAACCATAAACGGTATAGCTTACATGCGTGTTAGAGAAAAGTAAGGGGTTCCTTCAGACGCGACGAGGAGCACCAATCGCTTTCTTTTATCTTTTTATTTACCACAAAGAATAGTTTTCTCAACATGTAAATCTGCTTAGAATATGGGCGCTGAAACAACCGGGTTTGACTGAATGGTTCTTTGTGGAACCAAAAATGGTTCTTCTATGGCATTGCTGTGAAGAACCATTTGAAGCACTTTTATTTTTAAGAGTGTGTGACAAAATAATAGGCTATTTTATCAACCATAAACGGTATAGGCTACATGCGTGTTTACGTGTTAGAGAAAAGTAAGGGGTTCCTTCAGACGCGACGAGGAGCACCAATCGCTTTCTTTGATCTTTTTATTTACCACAAAGAATAGTTTTCTCAACATGTAAATCTGCTTAGAATATGGGTGCTGAAACAATGTGTTTACATTTGACCTGGCACTTTTTGAGCCAGTTGTGGATTTATTGGTAAACAACAACGTAGCCTGATAGCTAAAGTACATCACGGAGACGTCTATTTGGCGTCTGCATACATGGAAGATGTATTTATTAGAGTGTTTGCTAGGGTTGCCAACTGTCCCGTATTAGCCGGGACGTCCCGTGTTTTGGGCTTAGGCCTAATTTATGTGTCCCGTACGTGACCTCCCTTGTCCCGTTTCTTGACTGCTAACCACTAACTGATACAAGATCAGCAGTGCTGGTCACTTGAGAATGATCATCGACACCTGTCATCATCCAGTCAAAGACAAAAAATCTGCACACCAAACGAAGAGCAACGTTCAAGGTCCTTTGAACAGTCGTTTATTCCTGAAGATTTACACGGAAGTGATAACAAAAACTAAAGTGCATAAACAAAAAAGCATCCAGTCACAGCCACCCTCACGCAGTATAGCCTACGTTAAGGAAATCAGAAATCGTGAACATAACTGTTTGAGGAAGACTGGTCTTGAGCTGGAGCTGCTCGGGGGTTTATGATCATCTGTGGTCAAATGCAGCTTTAGCTTTATTGGTTGATTTGTAGACGTGCTGTAGGCCTAACAAGTATCTTTGTTGTTGCTTTTTTGTGAAAGACAATCATTCTCACCCATGCTCTGTCGTGAGAAACCTTCAGAACTTGTGATAAAACATAAATGTGATGTTTGATGTCATGTTAGCATCTGTTCTGCAGTAGCAGTATAAAAAACAGTCAGTATATGCTATTAGCAGAGTATGCGTTGCACATAAAAAAAAACACAGAAAGAAAAAAATAAACCTTTCTCAATGAACCAAGACCTTTGAAACAAAATATGGAAAAATATGTTCAGTTATGGTCTGGAATTTTAAAAGTCGTATTTAAGTAAATTATTTTTTGAAGAATGACTAAGGTCTTGTTATAAGAAAATAAGGTTATTCAGAGATTATTAATGCTTAACTGCTATTGCCTGTCGCATCAGCAAGATTCCTGATTGAGTGTATGTTTCTTTGCAGAAATCAAAGACAGAAGCCGTGTATGAAAATGTCCCCAAAAAACGATGAACAAATACTGTATCTACTGACACTGATGCCAGAGCTCATACAGGACAGTGTCTTACAATTGTGGGGTTTATTCTCACTTATTCTCTACCAGGTTTTGTTTTTTCGCTATTTTTTGTACCTTTTGGTGTTATTGTGAATTTTGTTTTAATGTATTAGTTCACCATTAGCACAGCATCCAGAAACTCAACTAAAATGTCCAACTTTTAGTTTATCATATGAAACTTTACCTAACATTCATTATACATTAAACATCGATCCACCCTTCATTGTGCGCTATCACAACAACCGCAGCCAACACAGCATTTCAACAAAAGCTACACCCAGCACATGTTGGAGATAGATGTAAATCATGAACAATAAAGGCAGACAGTCATCATTAAGCCTAACAGACTGACTGATGGATTCAGATTCAGATTCATTCTTTATTGTCCTCAGAGGAAATTTGTTTTCACAGACTGCACTAAAAGCTGTAAGAGGCTACACATAATACACACATATTTCCACCAATACAAATATACACACATTTACACCAACAACAACATCGGTGCACATAATACACACATCCTTCACCAGGTATACATTTACACTCTTACACGTATATTGCCCATATATCCTATGACTGATAATCGATTTTACTGATGGGCTGCCGCTACCTTTAATATGCAACATCGGTTCTTTGATTGAACTGATAAATAGCCCTATCTAGTGGACTTTAAGCAGCAGCAGCAGCAGCTTTAAACAGCATCACAACAATGTTTGCTCAACTGGAAAGTGCTGCGTTCACAGGAAAATTGACTAATGCATTTTTATGCAATATTATGTGTGTAAAATTCATAATGTTCTATTAAACGCAATGAGAAAATTGTTTCAAGTTGGGCACAAATAAGACACCTTACTTGACTGTGATCACAAAGCAAACATTTGAAGGTAGGCCTAATTGTGGCGATTTTGAGAGTCAAAGCTCATTTTTTCATTTATTTGGTTGATTTAAAACCCAAAACTGTAGTATAACATTCTTCAAAAGAAAATGTAGGCTGACTGAAAAATTAAATTACAATCACCAGTGGCATTAAAGCGATCATGAACCACCTGTTTTTTATTTTGTACTGTTCTGTGAGGTCCAGTTATGATGTCCATTTATAATTTTTACATCAAAAACATCATAATTTAGAAGTAATAGGCTATTTTCTGTTCTGTTTTTAACCCCCCTCATCAGAAAGCTCTGTTTGAATAGGCTTGGCAGATTGTAGAACACCAACTGCTATGACTGGCTAACGCGTGTATGTTTGACAGCCTATGTCCTTCAGAGATGGACGCTGCTATGATTTAGGTTAAAAACGCATAAATACTCAGTAGATATCAAATGATCTGTAAGAAGAGACAAAGCAATTGTGATCAGGTAATAAAAACAGTTACTCACACTTCTGTGTTGTGACATTACTGTTGGATCTAATATACCCGGCACAGCATTGTCTTTTAGTTTCAGTCTTTCTGAAAAACCTGGTCGAATTGTGCCTTGTTTGCAAACGAATCCACTGTAAAATGAAGGGAACAAAGGACTGAGTTCTTACTGATGCGCAGTTATGAAAATGCACTGGATGAAAAAGCAAAAATGGCTGCCCACTGCTCCGGGTGTGTGTTCACTGTTGTGTGTGTACACTTGGATGGGTTAAATGCAGAGCACTAATTCCGAGTATGGGTCACCATACTTGGCCACATGTCACGTCACTTTCACTTTCGTATATGTAAAAAGATCAAGGGAATTTTGGTTTCTCAGTTCATGACCCCTCAGTGGCTCTGATGATTGTGATGGTGAGATATCCAAATTAATCAGAATATTAGTCCGAATATGGCTCATTGTTATAATGTAATTTTTATTATTATTATTTTGCACAGTTGGTGGAAATTTCACACGGTCCCTTACTGCAGCAGACAGTTTTCCAACACTTCTCATTGCATGCATACAATATTATTACTATTATTCATTTACAATAAAGTCAGGACACTCCATCCATTCCTAAATGAATGTAAGACATCAAACCACACAAATGACAACCTGAATTTAAAGGCAAAATATCTTAAGGACAAATCCAGGCTGTGGATGGGAGGAAGTGCTGAGGATTCATTTAGAAGATGTTTTTATCCAAAGTAACTGCCAAAAAGAGGAATACAACAAGCATGAGTAATAGTGAAAGCATCAAGGAAGATTTTTTTTCAGCAGGATGCAGTTAAAGGGATAGTTCACCCAAAACTGAAAATTCTGTCATCACTTACTCAAACTCAATTTTTTTTGAAGAATGTGGGTAATCAAACAGTTGCTGGTCCCAATTGATTTCCACAGTGTGGGGGGGGGAATAAAATAAAATAGGGATTCATGTTCCGGATAGGGCTGGGAAGATTATTACACCAGCAAGGAACAGAGAATGAGAAGGTTCTGGAAAGTGATTTTGTGCCTCTCTGTGAAGGTACCACGAAGTGTCGCTCACCTACCAACCTCAGGCATCTGAAGGGGATGTAGACTTATAAGATCTAGCAAAGGTAGAAGGGTGCAGGCTATTCTGTCAGCAAGCAAGCATGAACTTGATGCAAACCACAACCGGTAGTCAATGCAGAGAAAACAAGAGAGGTGTGACGTGGGCTTCCTTGGGCTCATGAAGACCAGTCATGCAGCTGTGTTCATTTTTCAAGATTGTTTTGTTGAATCAATTGACCATATGCACGGAGCTTTCTTTAGAACTTCCGCACAAAAATAAGCCAGCTGGTAAACTTACGGTGAAGCTCATTTTATGTGCTATACATAGGTAAAGACTCTCACAGAAACCTCTCCTGCCTCTTTCTTATCAGAAACTGAGAAACAAAATAATCGCAACACCGTAAATAATGACAGCGGCATTAACATACAGTTTCATGTTATTTAACAACATAAAATGTTATTTGCCGAGCCTGGTAATCCCAGGAGAGTACCTAGACGCATAACTGTACATTTAAATGCTGACAAATAAACACTGTCGTAACTGTTTAGGCTAACCTAGCTAGCGATGGTATCTCTTAAACGACATCATAATGATATTCTTGATAATCAATAACTTACCTTCATAGTCATGAACACATTTTTAAAATCTTATAACATTTTAAAGCCTTTATTATTTTTCAACTCTACAGCTGTGCAGTAAAATTCACTTTAAAGATTCACTTTTCATTCATGAAGACGACATGAAAAAATGTGCCAATAATGTGTCTCGGCGGAAAACAAAGACTTTTAAGATGAAAATGACATGAAATTACTATTACAACCAGGAGATGGCAGCAGAGGATCACTCATTGGTTGCAGCTGCTATTTCAACTCTGAAAGCTGTTTGCAGCTGTTTTTTTCACGTACGTCTTGCTTTTTGGATTTATTATAAAATGATTGCATCTTTTAATGTTTTGTCTTTAACTATAAATTCAGCCAACACAGATTTGTTGTTGTTGTAGTTTTGTTACTCTACATTTAGTCTGAATCACTTAATGCACAGCTCTGTTTTTGACATTTGCTTGTCAGATGTTTTGTTATCACTGTCAATCATAGCAATGACTCGCGGCATGATTTAGCGGATTCACTCGCATAATTTTTACACTTGCGTTCGTCATTCCTGAAACGGTATACGTGGATGTTTGGTCCTCTTAAACAAACAAAACTTTTCTTCAAATTGTGACTGGATTATGTAGAGAAACTGAGCAAACGGCGCTCCCCTTATGGCACGGTACATTTGACCGGAAATGACTGAGCTGGCTTATCCAAATCCAGGAAGTATTTGTGCATATGGTCAATTGTAGAGGTTTTATTGCACATGACGGAAGTCCAGCCTAGAAATGACAAAGTTATTTAGCATGCTCTTTTAGGAAGGGCCCGATCTTTCTGATGTTGTGCAATGCAAACCTGCATGAATGGTATTTGAAGGTCTGCTGGTCATCCAAGATTCCTCCAAGATTTCTGACCAAACTCAATGGGATTATTGGCTGGATGGTGAGATTTTACTGTACAGTTGGAGTGACTGGGAAGATGAGAAGATCTGTCTTTGCTTGGTTGAGCTGCAGGTGATGTTGTTTCATCCAAGTCAAGATGTCCGTCAGGCAATCTGGGGATGGAAGAGGACCTGAGCAGCACAATGAAAGCAGCTGAAGGATAACTAATAGTGATGTGCAGACAGGTAGACATGGATCAGCTAAGCACCACTAGTTGCCACTTGACTGAGATGGCCTGCTTGATTTATTAAATATTGGTAAAATATGATCACTGTATTTATTTTATTTCTCCCCCTTTGTGTCAAACACTGTTTCTTATCATGGTTTCTGTAGAGTAAAGAATCATAAAACGCAGCAACAGGACAGGAAGAAGCCCTTCACCACAATTTCAAATAAAACCTATCACGCCCACTTTCGGTTTGAATCAGAAGCAGTAAAGCTGTAACACCAGTACTGTGAGATGGTACAGAGTTTTACCTTTGTATTTTTTTTCTCCATTTACTAAATATATGTCTGCATTAGGAGGGTCAAACTCTGCTGGGAGAGGACTCACAAACCAAATTAACAGGTTGAGTGAAGTCTTAGTTCAGACTGTTCACTAAACTGTTGAAGAAATGTTTTACGTGATTGTTTTCTTCTGTTTGTGCTGGTGCCATCTGACTGGTAAGTTATAAATTAAAACCTAAATTAAGCTACTTTCAAATCTCAGGCATCTTTTGTTATTATATTAATTTCAAGGGTTACAAATGCAAGAACTCTCCAGCACGTTCTCAGAAATATATTTTAAAATACTTCAGCAGTAATCATACTGATTCATGTCATAATCAATTCATGGAAATTCACAGGATAAAAAGTGTGTCAATGCAGAGTGAATTAAGGAAATCTGATTTTATGATGAAAAAAATATAACTTTCACTCACAACTGTCTAGTAAATGTTTGGAAAAATTACAAAGAATTGGGAATTAACACATTAAATTAAATGTGACATTTTTTTCATGTAAATTGTGTAACTTCCCACACTGATTTTAATGTTGATGTTTAGTACACTAAATATCTGCTGCTGTTCTGGATGTTGTTCACTTTATCTACAGCTGATTTCAGGCTTTATAAACTAAAGAAAGCTTTCATCTGTCCACATTCATGTTCTTTAGGTGTGTTTGGCGAGTCAGTGTCAGTGACTGAGGGAGATTCAGTCACTTTACACAATGACATTACTGAATGCAAAGACTGCAAAGTAGTGTGGGCATTTGGAGCGTCAGACACATCCCTCATAGGGTACATCAACCGAAACAAACAAATCTTTTCCACATTTGATGGTCCTGATGGGAGATTCAGAGACAGACTAAAGCTGGATCATCAAACTGGATCTCTGACCATCACAAACACTAGAACTGAACACGCTGGACTTTATAAACTACTGATAAATGGAGCAAAACTTTTAACAAAAAAATTCAACATTTTTGTCTATGGTGGGTAGAGACGTCATTTATTGTGTGCTCCAAATAATATGAACACGTTAAAGTTTCTCTTTATCTTCTAATGTTTTCAGCTCGTCTGTCTGTTCCTGTCATCAGCAGTAACTCTTCACAATGCTCTTCATCATCATCTTCATCATCATCATCATATTGTTCATTGGTGTGTTCAGTGGTGAATGTGAGTCATGTGACTCTCTCCTGGTACAAAGGAAACAGTTTATTGTCCAGCATCAGTGTGTCTGATCTCAGCATCAGTCTCTCTCTACCTCTGGAGGTGGAATATCAGGATAAAAACACCTACAGCTGTGTGCTCAACAATCCCATCAGCAACCAGACCACACATCTCAACATTACTCAACTCTGTCAGATTCACTCAGGTATGACAGTGGTGTTATTAATGATTAATTACTGAGCTGATTTTGGTTTTTGACACAAAAATAAACCACCATCAAGACCTCAGTCTTGTTTGAGGTTAGACTGACAGAGTCATTTTGTCCATTACAGATCAGGGTTTACCTTTATTGTACATAGTGCAGATTTCTGCTGCTGCTGCTGGATCTCTGATTGTAGTTGCAGTTGTGATGTGCTGCATCTGCAAAAAATGTAGGAAAACAGGTCTGGAATTCAATTATTAAACTACAAATATTAACTACAATTAATGCATTTGAATCACATATATACATTTCTAAATATGATTGCACACTTTGTCATTTTAACACGTCTGTGATCATTGTTAATGCAGTTATGACAAGACAGGAAGACAGAACTCATTCAGCATTGTGTAAACCAACAGGAAGAACGGTAAGATGCTTACTGACTATGTTGCAGTTAGTCTGATTGAAGTTTGCAGCATCACACGGTTCACGGACCATCCATGAACAGACGTGGCTGATCTGTGAGCCTAACCGTCAAAACATCAAAAGATTTGTTAATGATATTTACACTAAGTGCATGTACTCTGCACCTTAGTGAAAATACTAACATACAGTTTTTCCATTGTGCTGGGCCATTTTCTTTTTGCAGACCTAAAAAAAACAAAAAAAACATAAAAAAAATAGCATATAAAATGCATAGGATTAGTTAATAAAAAAATGTTTTAGGCAGAATGTTATCTGACTTTCACTTTCACCTTTCACTTTCATCGCATCTGTTTTCCCTATCATGAACGCGGTCTTTTACATTTTCTCTATACCAAAAGTAGTTTGCTCAACTTGTCAATATGCTTAGAACAGGAACAGCGGGGCAAATTATTTGATCGGGCACTTTTTAAGAGTGTTGTGGTTGAACAAAGGTAGATTCTCTCTTAAAGGGGTCATGAACTGAGAAACCAAAATTCCCTTGATCTTTTGACATATAAGAGGTCATTGTACAATAAAAACATCCTGTAAGTTTCAGAACTCAAAACTTTCTTATTAGTCTAACAGCTGCAGAACAAAATGACAGCTTGTGGAATGTTCTACTCTATGATGTAATAGTGTGGATTAGCGCTGCCTCCGCAGAAGAAGATTAACACCTGCTTCGACGTCACTGCCTGTTTAGACCCGCCCACCAATTCACGCACGTAGTGTTTACGAGAGAAGCCAACACGCAGGTGTACACAGAAACCAAATGATAAAGATGCACAGGCTGTGCAGTGCCAAGTTGTGGGAAAACTATGTAAGTAACTATGTTGGATCCGACAGTGGTCACTATTGCGTTGCATTTTCTTGCAGGCCGTGATTGTTTGATATGCATTGAGTTATTTGTGCGTTTTTCACCTAAATCACAGCAGTGTCCATCTATGAGGAATGGACACATACACAGCTAGGACCCAACATACATTTAAACTTGATTTCCATGATAATCAAGATAAACGTATCATGTCACAGATGCACTTATGTCCAAGTTATATGTTCTGCTGCTGGTTCTAGTAAAAGACTGGCATACGCCACAACTGTGGTGTGGTGTATAATGATGAAAGTCATCCACAACAGTTCAGATGTTTTCAAACTAGAGACACATATTATGAGCTATTCACGACAGTCTTTAACTTGCAGACTGTTATAAAAAGAAGAGGGGATGCCACACAGTGGTAAACATGGCCTTGTCCCAACTTTTTTGAGATGTGTTGACGCCATGAAACTTAAAATCAACTTATTTTTCCCTTAAAATGATACATGTTCTCAGTTTAAACATTTGATATGTCATCTATGTTGTATTCTGAATAAAATATTGAAATTTGAAACTTCCACATTGTATTCTGTTTTTATTTGTACAGTGTCCCAACTTTTTTGGAATCGGGTTTGTAAATTAGTTATAATTTATGATATCTGCCAGCTGTCCATATTCTGTTTAAGTGATCACTGAGCAGGAATCCAATGTTGCATACTAGTGACATCACACCCCACACCGATTTATTGTCTAGAAAGAACTGTCAATCTAGAGAAATAGGGGCCCAATGGAAATGTTAAATCCTGCTTTGAGTGTAATGTTTAGATTTGGAAGTGAAGAACTGAGAATTTGAGAGAGCAAAGTGGGAGAAAATTAAAGTGCAGTCCAAAAAATAAATAAATAAAATGAAATATATTTTTGTTATATGTCCTAACTTGATTTTTACTTGTGTTTGCAATACATTTGGCAATACATAATGTTTCATTTGGTTGAATCAGATTGCTCCCGTTGTTGCATCATGACATGTTTTTAGTTTACAGTAAGTCCATTTCTATATCTGACGTGATGCTTTCTCTATTTATTTCCTAATTTCCATCATGAATTAGGTTTTTATGACTTCTTGATGTAGTTATAGCCTAAGCTACATGAAGGCTTTTGACTATTACACCAAAGCCAGCCCATAATTTGGTCTGTGGCCTACTAATTTAAAACATGTTTTGTTTAAAATCACACTCTAAAAAATGCTGGGTTAAATATAACCCAGCGCTGGGTTATATTTAACCCAGCATTTTTTAAAGTGCATATGTAATTTGTTCTGTTATCAAAACACACACACAAAGTTATTAAGCCATGTTACCAGTGCTGAAGTCTGGCCTCAAGCTGCAGCTGCTGCGGTTCATGATCGTCTGACGTGATATACAGCTTTAGCGGCCATTGGTTGATTTGTAGATGAGCTGCAACAAGTATTTTCTTGCTGTTGCTTTTGTGTGAAAGTCATTCTTAGTTACAGAGTCATGACAAACCAGAACTTAAATAAACTGTTTGATGATTTACCTTAATAAGTCATGTGAAAAACTGGATGATTGATGTCATTTCTTCCAGCTGTTCCATGTTAGCATCTGTTCTGTAGTAGCAGTAGTTCTTTAAAAAGTCAGTATTTGTAGATTCAGCTTTTAACATACAATATCATTCATACGTTTTTGTTGTAAATGTGAAGACATAGAAATGTAGAATTCCAAGTTGGTCTGCTATTTTTTTTATCATATCCACCAGATTCTTGATTGTGTTTGCGTTTCCTTGCAGAAATCAAAGATAGATGCTGTGTATGAAAATGTCCCGAAAAAACGGTGATCACATGAACTACTGGAACTGATGTTAGAGTTCATACAGGACAATCCCTCACACACCTTTTTGTTTTGTTCAGATTTATTCCCTGCCATGTCTCTGTTTTGTATCCACTATTTATATCCCATTTTCTGGTGTAACAGTGATGTCTGGATTTTAATTTAAGGGTCCATCAATAGAATATCATTTAGAATGGCAAACGTTTCAGTCACAACACGACTTTCTTCAGTGCCTAATCTACAAGATTTGGACTTTTGGACTTTTACTGCATACAAGCAGTTTAGGAAAAGCACTGATTTACACATTCACTCATCAGACAAAGCTACAAGAGTCTCATGGATGATCTTGTACATCTTGAAAAACATCATTTAACCCACAGCTTGATACATATATACATTCTCCTTCATAAATGTACAAACAAATAGTGTTTCACTGCATGTTTTCTGATCACAAGGATGGGAAATGAGTTTAAAGGTATTACATGTTTTTTATTCTAAGTACGTGTAATTTAAAATGTACAGTTTGATTATAGCAGGATTATGTGAAATATGTCAAGACCACATATGTTTTTTGTACAGTGAGTGGATAAAAAAAAAAGTGATTCTAAAACGTTTGAGTATGATAATTTCGTTGAAATTGTTTCTCTCCCTATGTGTCAAATTTGTCATACAATGATCGGTCTGCATAGCACTGCTTCCAGTCGAACACACCTAATATGTATGCATATTTTACATTGCTTTGACCGTTCTCTGTAGATCCCACCTTCTCACGCTCCATGATTGGTTGATCAATGCCTGCATGTTATTGGTCAAACTACTTCTCGATCATTACCTTCAGCAATTATGAAAACAGGAAAACAAAGCCAAGACCTGGATATTTTAGGCAATACAGAAATCCTGGCCAGGTCATGTCTGAGAAAAAGAAGACGTATGGTTACCCTAGGTCAGGGGTGTCAAACTCAGTTCCTGGAGGGCCGGAGCCCTGCAGAGTTTAGATTCAACCCTAATTAAACACACCTGATCCAGCTAATCATGTCCTTCAGGCTTATTTGAAAACTACATGGTTTGTGTGTTGGAGCAGGGTTGGAACTAAACTCTGCAGGGCTGCGGCCCTCCAGGAACTGAGTTTGACACCTGTGCCCTAGGTAAACCTCACTCAAGAGGCGCACTAGCGACTTCAAGATTTAAAGAGGCGCACTAGCGACTGACACTAGATGATGCAGTCTTTAGCATCCTTGTTAGCTTGCCCGCCTCCCATGCTGGCGACCTGGGTTTGAGTCCCACTTAAAACTAAGTGGGGCATGGCCCGCTCCAGTCTATGAGTCTGGACCAGAGCTCGCTCCAGTTTATGACTTTGCTCCAGCTCCTCCCAAGGTGGCGGCTTCTGCGACAGAACCTCTCGAGGTGGAGGTGTTCACTTCAGTTCCTCTCAAGGTGGTGGTGCCTACTCCTGAACTCTCTGTTTGCCTTGTCACAGCCAACGATGCTGTCTCTGAAATGTTTTCCTGTCCGGTTTGGACTACAGTGAACCCCTGTGAATCCCTTGACTGCCCTGTGACGGACAAAGAGTCATCTCTGAACTCTTAGTTTGCTCTATCATGGCC